TTTTCAACCTAATAATCTGGCAAAGTATCTAATCGTGAAGCCTGTCGTTAACATTGCAGCCCAAATCCGATAACAACGGCTCGTCCAAAGCAGGGTATCCTTAATCTATTGAATCTTCCTGTCCCTCTTCAGAACTCACTAGACCTATTTACTGTTTTGACAATATTTTCCAAACGTTTGGGATACCGGGTTCCAAAGTAGCCGTGACCTACATTGATTCCCTTACGCCTGCTTGACCCTCTATTTTAAGTACTAATAAGGCTTCTGAATTGGTCATATTTAACGGCCGTTCATTCAGGGTCTGCAAAATCTGTCGAATGTGGCTCCCAGTCTCTGATGTCAACTGATCTATTTCCCATTTTCTCTGTTTTGCAACCATTTGGGACACCGGCTTCCGAAATAACCCTGACCATCAACTTCGCTGCCAACATACGCATTTTCAAGCTTTTTGATGCCCCTGCAATTCTAGTCTACAGTGGCTGACTCACTCACCCTTGCTTGATACTCTAGCGCTTCTCGGAGTACCATAATTTCTCTCTAGATCCACCAAAACGACCCACCTCACATATATTAGCATCATCCTATATATCCGAATACGAATTTATTTCAAGTCGGATCTCTTTCCACTGCTTAACCTACTATTTTGACTAGCAGTAAGGATTCGGAATTGTTCCTCTCCAACGGCCGTCCATTCAGCGCTTCCGTTATCTAACGGATATGTTCCTTCGTCTACCACTATTCCTATATAGAACTTCCAGTGAGCCTCTCCAGAGCCTGTCAGTTTTCGTTCTCTAATCTCTGTGGCTCAGACTTTACTTCGGATGAACCACACAGATCTGCTGCTCAACTGACAAATCCTTAACAACCTAGCTCCACAGCTAATATTGAAGGACTTAATGAATCAGGCGATGCTGCCACATATACTCTTGCACCCTAAGCTAACGTTGCTTGATGCTTTTAACAAATGTTCTCCTGATTAACCACAGCCACACGGCGTAGGTCCCCTGCACCTCACTTTGGCTTCCGAGGCTGTCACTACTCTTTCTATCATCTCTTTGGTTCCGCCTTTCTTTTCCTCGTCTGCACCATTTGCCCACGCTGCTCAACCGATATATGTCTGACACAGCAAATCTGCAAATGTAGCTAGGGGACTTAATTAACAAGGCAATGCTGCCCACCCGTCTCACTGCCTCAATGCATTCTCCTCTGTATTGACATTCCTGTTTTCTAATTGGTTTAAAGCAACTACTACCCAAACACACCTGGTTCGGAAGACCACCATTCTTGTTGGCTTTCCTCTGTGGGTTGATCTCCCTTCGTCAACATTGCTTAGCTCATCGTCTTGATCAAGTTTCAGTCTCGTAGCAAAGCGCGCTCACTAATCTCCTTACCTCACCTCTGTTTGCTTGTGCGCTTCTTCACTCTTCATCATCAACTAGTTTCTAATTCCGAATCTATCATTGTCTACGTGCTACTGTTCGTTCCTTTATCTAATCTAAATCGGGTGGGTAGGCTCAAATACCTGCGCGCAAGTCGCCTAAAATATCACTGCTGATTTCTATCTGCTCTCCGACGATCCAGAAATAAGGGCATCAGTGTCATTGGATCCCGCACTTATTTGATCTCCTTCAATCTATTCCCCCTCTCTATTCCCTATAACTATTTGCTTTCAGATTACTCACTCTGCTCTCATCGGTATGTATAATAGCTTTTCAAGGACGGTCTGCGTAGGGGTCATGCTCTCAGTAATGCCGGTAAAGTTAGATTTGCAACGTCGCGCCATTTTACACAAACGAAGAATGTGGGATTATTTGCGGCCGATTCAACTAAACCTTTCTCTCATTGGAAATGAGCAGTAGTGCGATTTTGCTTATATTTACTGTTGACTTCTCGACAGCTGTCGCAATAGCTGTCTGACGCAGCTGCTTTGTAGGTTCGCCAAACAAACTCCATTTTTGTGTAGATACACGTTTATGAAATCTATCCATGGAGGCTGCGCTCGTAGCCCTATTTACAGCATGAGTTGAGTACAAGAGCAAAACTTACGTAACATATGCCTTGTCCGTGAGGTGCGCGACACCTTGCCACATGCTTCAAATTACTTTTGATCTCTCGCAGCTGCATAGGAATAAAATCAAACCATCTGTGGCTAACCTCAAACGTGTGGCATCCGCTCACTTGGATACGGCCGAGTCCAAACTTCTGCGTTTACTGGAAACTCACGCACGCCTACTCCATGTGGTAGAGGATCTATCTTTGTGTTGTCGTGTTGTGTTCGCTAACTTTTGCAAATCAACTCTCGACCGTACGAGGCGAAATCGGAATACTCGGTTGGAGACCGCGCTTACGAACAGCCAGGATGAGGAGCCAATCGTTCGTGATCCCAGTAAGTACGTGGTGAATTTATCAGACGTACAACTAGACGCTTTGCAGTTAGAAGCTTTGTCATATGGGCTTGATGACAAAATTCCTCCTAGAAGACTGAACAGGTTGTTTATAGAAGCTCAGTTTGAGAACTTTTTTGATCAACTTAATGAGTTTCAGCCATCCAGTCCTGAGAGTGTTGTTTGGTTTAGGAACAAATTGACTGATATTGCCCACGAAGTTAAGACCGTGTCAGTGACGGAAAAATGCGCACTTACAGGCCGATACCTTCAGGCGCTGCGTGAATTGCGAACTAAGAACGTAGTTGTGATGAAACCGGATAAGGGCTCTGGAGTGGTGGTCATGAACAAGGCCGAGTACGCTCAGAAAATGAGTAGCATACTCAACGACACGAGTAAACGTGAACGACTTAATAAGCTGGAGAACGTATCCAACGTTGAAGCTAGCATGGCTGCCCATCTTGAAACGCTTCTCCTTCATCGCGTGATTGATAGTGAGACCTATAATTGTCTGAAACCAAGTGGAAGCGCTACTCCGCAGCTATACGGGTCACCGAAGACGCACAAGAGTGGAATACCACTTAGGCCGATTCTATCAATGGTAAATGCGCCGCAGCATATATCGGCTCGCTGGCTGGTGAAGATACTTTCGCCTCTACGACAACTGTCCAATCCTATATAGTCTTAAAGATGCTTTCCAACTTATCGGTGACCTAGATGACATCAATCTCTCCGATAAGATCATGTGTTCCTTGGATGTGGAATCTCTATTCACCAACGTCCCACTACAACAAACTGGTGAATACATAAGTGAGCTAGCTGAGCACTCTAGTCATTCATTACCAATTCCAGTTGAATTGCTAAAAGAATCCTTACTTCTGTGTACAGCAAATGTGGGGTTCCACTTTCAGAACACCCCATATCGTCAACTCGATGGTGTGGCAATGGGTAGCCCACTAGGCCCTGTACTTGCTGATTTCTTCATGCTGATGATAGAAAGAGTCATATCCACAGAAATATCCCAGTTGCCATACCATAAGCGTTATGTTGATGATATATTGGCCTTTTGTTCATCGGAGCAGCAGCTTGTCCAGTTGGCGCAGCAACTCAACTGCGCACATACCAAGTTGCGGGTCATCTGCGAAGTGGAACAGAAAAACTGTCTGCCATTCTTAGACATCCTCATCAGTCGCAGAGATGCCGGGCTCATTAGAAGATCTAAATACAGAAAAGCCACATGGTCCGGTCAATACCTGCACTTCACCAGCTTCACACTAGTGCGGTACAAGCGGACCCTTGTGAAAACCTTAGTTAGTCGTGTTAGACGGATTTGCTCCGCTGATTGTCTAGCCGACGAGCTAGAGTTAATTACAACAACACTTGTGGTAAATGGTTATCCACTTAGATTTATAGAGAGACGCAGCCAACAGCGAGGCCCGAAAAACGGTGCATACGGCAGCCAAGAAAAAGATCTATATCGAGTTGCCATTCAAGAGTGACTTTACTGGATTGAAAACCACGAAACGTCTAATCTCTGCTACGCAGAGAAGTTACTGTGCCGCTCAGGTTGTGATCATCAATAGAATCTGTAACTTGCCGGTGCCTCCAAAGAAGGAAGCTCAACCGATAGGGGCCAACTCACACTGCATATAAAAATTCGTATGCAACTGCGGAGACAGTTACATAGGCAGAACCAATCGGTCTTTGACTTCCCGAATAAAGGAACACGTGCCAAGGTGGGTTCAACGTGAAATTGACCAGCATCCCTGTCCCACTGAAGTTCCGTGCTTGCGCAAGCCGCCAGCTTCCTCAATAAGTAAAAACCTACTGACTACGCGTCACCGGATAGAGCTCGGATCAGCGTTCACACTTGTATTACGTCACCCTAATCCCCGCTTCCTCCGTTTCGCCGAGGCCGTTGCGATAAGCCGGATGAAGCCGGCCCTGTGTGTTCAAAAGCAATTATTTATCAACTTAAGACTGCCGTGGACATAGGGGTGGAACTTCCGTCATTCATTTTTCACCTCATGCTTATTCGGTCACAAGCATAATTAAGTATATAATTACATACCGGTTGTTGTTAATGGTACTGAGGAGACAATACCAAATGTATGCATCTACCAGTTTTCGTCCTCTTACCGTGCTTTTCAAACATCTTTTGTGTCAAGTCTAGGTTACTTTTCCCCATTGTGTCGGATTTGTCTCTTTTAACTTTCCACATTTGCGGCCAGCATCTAAGTCGCGCGCTAAACATTTCTGTTTGCATACCAATACAACTTCCTCTGAATATTCGAACAATTGCGGCAGCGATTGGCCCTTTTCTCTGGGTTTCGACGTGTCACGCGAAATAAACCAGCGAAGTAAAACATTCCGTAATTTCGATGCAAGTTTCCCAAGACACCTAACATGTATTAGTACCCCCGAGTAGATTTGTAAACAAATGAGGGAAAACAAATTTGTGACCAGCAAGAACTGATGCTGAACCGCCAAGTGTAACACCTACGCACTTAAAATAATCTTTAACAGTTTGGCAATTTTGATTTCCTAAAAGGAATTGTGGACCTCATAGTAACATGGCAGTACATCGAGTTTACATAAGGCACGTGAATTGCGTAGCAACAATTGTATTCTGACACGCAAATAAATGAGGGAATTTGGATCAATTCATTTCACAACAAAAGCGGTTTAATCAAATTGCGCTAACATGTCTCTCAGAAATAAGGCTACTCCTCCTCCTTCATTCTTAACAAATTTCGCAAACGTTTTAACAAGCCTCAGCGTTTCTTGAGGATCCGACATGACTTCATTACAATGATGTGTACTAGATGATGCTGCGGATGCGCTCGACGAGTCTGCAGCCCGCCCTTCTGCGGATGCTAATCTCACATGTGCAGTACCGCAATCCAAAGACCCTCTGATTTCAAGCCCTTTCAATGTGCGTGCACAAGATTCTACTATCGGCTCAAAGATAGGTGAGTACGCAGGTAATGACTTGTACCCACCATTTTTGTTTGCGAGGAAATACGGTATTTTTGCAAAACTTGAACGTGGTGCCATGTGGATCACGTAGCTGATTGCCATGCCGCCTGGGGACAACGCATCATCGTACGGAATTCTCTCTTTTCCTGTGAGGTACTGTGCGCTTATATGGCTTCTCGCTCCGAAATCTTTAATCTCCATATATTTCTCAACTGTCGAAATTATTGTCGAAAACATCCATTCATCCAGGCATTTCATCAAGGCAGTGCCTGCGAAATGTGCGAACACGTTGTAGCAGTATGCAAGCTTGCGGCATCCAGCTGGTAGACAGTTCAAATATTCTCTCATCTCGGCATTTGGTTCAACAACCTGCTTCCTTCTACCGATAATGATGACCGGTCTGACGTTCTTGCCCATGTATCCTAGTGCTGCAAGCGTCGAGGCCCAACGCCCGAAAGTGCGAGCAGCTTCGTTCCCAATAACCATTCCCATCTTTAAGCTGAGGCGTGTTGATAATTTATACAACATACAGGGTAGATTCTTATGTTCTGTAGTATGATGATTCGACCTCCAATAATTCACTTTCGTCGCAAATATCAGCAAAGCCATTGTGGGTATGGCACTGCCATGATCTTTGACCACATGCTCAACGACGTTGTACCAATTTATCGGTAGTTCAGCGTCAGTAAATATCCAGTCTCCATCTCGTTCCCACTCTTCGGAACCATCGCACTGTCGTACCGCCAACAGACCAAATGATGCCACAGTGTAAGCTGCCAATGCGACCGCTGTGATGCTTATTGAGAAATCATTATTTCGCGAGTAATGATTTGCGGTATGTGCTGCGCAAAGTAACGGAAACTCGTGGCTTGTGACCGATGTATAACTTTTTGGAACTACCATTCTCTTCGATATAGGAAGCTTGGGATCAAACAATGGATACAGGGTAGCCAAAAACGTCTCGCACTGCTGTTCACATCGTAGTATTTCTTCGTATTTCGCTCTGTCAATTACGAAGTCGGCGATATTAGCGCTATCTGGAATTTAAAATTAACTTCATACCAGACAACTGACCATACCTTCATCAACCTTTGTATCCACGTTATCCACATCTGGGTGAACAGATCGCGTCGGAGAAAGTAGGGGGCTCGTTGTGCTCGCCTCACATGCGCTATCGTTAGCGCTAATCCTCGGCTTCTTCACAACCACAGCATCGGTTGATGTTCCCCGGCGTGTCTTTACCATTAAAATGACTGAAAAGCAAAACCACAATTTGTGCAACATCATCGCACCAATAAGACTCCTTGATTCGGAGAAAAGTTCTTCAGTTTCGACTTGTTTATTATACATACTGCCAACAAGAAAGTACAGAAATCTGGGGTTTGTGCGTATTTGAATACTAAATCACCTACGGCGGTTTGCAGTTGCACTGAGCGGCAGAGTGACATAGAATCTGGTTGGAAATCTGGCGGTTGTTGATGGCCCCGACGAATAGTTTGATAAGGATGACCGACGGAACCGTTAAAAATGGGGTGAGCAGGGAAACTTACAAGGTATGATTCTTGGTTTGTGAAACGACTGCAATTTTTCAGTGTCGTGTTCATTGAAGCTGAACTTGAATCAATAGGTTGCAACAAAGTTACGAAGAGGGCAGTAGTGGATTGGGAAACACGAAATGCGTGATTACGGCAAGCACAATCATTGTAGCAAAAACTGTGTTATTTGCGACACATATAACTGCGAAGCAAAAGAGACATTGTCGTAGCGACATTAACCACAAGTCCCACTCACAAGCTACGCGTTACGCATGAAGAAAATAAAACAGACCGATCGATGTCGACGTATGTCCCTTTAGCTCGGATCGTGGTTGCATAGAATTCGGAAACATCACGAACACAGTGAGATGAATGGAATCCATATACCGCGAGCTAAAGGTTGTAAAATGCTACGGATTTGTTTGAAATTGCGCATTGGTTAATGCACATTGCAAAAGCCAAGTAGTATTAAAGGTAACAGAATAATGTGATGCGTTGGGTCAAGTGAAAAGTAAGCGACAGCGATTAAAATTAGTGTATGGAACTATCGTTCAGAGAAGGACAATAGCATCGGTTACCTATGACGCACCACGGTCTGCAGGTTCAATAGCCATTGGTGTGTTGCAGATAAAACCGTTGAGGCCGATAATCTTCCGCAGGAGGTTGAGTAACTTTTCACAATCAATGACGTAACATCCATACAAATCGAAAAGCGAAAACGGTGATCTCACCTAGCAATCGTTTGTCAAACAGAATCATTCACCTTTGATTTGATGGATTTGGAATCCTCACCTCCTACTGTTTCCTTAGAAATACGGATGTGAGATGATCCGCTTTTATTACCCGAGTGTGCAAATATTTCATGCACGTTGTATGATGTCGTGAAGCGTTTCCATTGAAATCACCTCAAGCCATGTGCGTCAAGCTAATGTAGAACATGAAATCATATGGTCTTATAGGGAATTCCAAAAGTGATAAACAGTCAGGAATAGAAAATATCGCCTACATTCAAGACGCAACCAGATTTTAGCAGTTTAGTTAAAAGGAAGATGCTGAGCGAAAGTAGCGAATATGGCAATGCAATCCGTGCGGCATGCGGCTGTCTATTTCTCGACAACAATTATAAAGTGTGAACTAATTTAAATGGGTTGCTTTTCTACATGTAGTTCGTCCAAATACCTGGGAAAACGGGTCCTTCAGTCGCACCACTGCCGAATGCTAGGTTTCGTTAAGCTGAAAGATCGCATTTACACCCCCTCGTTTAATAATCTTCGAATTGTTTCAAAATATTCTTACATTATCCATGAAGTGTGCGGTTGTTCCGGATGTATTTAAAGATGCACTGACTTTACCACGATAAAAAGTGACCCACGTCAAACACAGATGAACTATCGGCTCATCAGCCATACCTGCATTCTGTGTAGAACAATGGGAAGAGCAACAAAAGTCAAAACTGTCCAAATCCTATCGTCTCGAATTGCGTTCAACAATCCTCAGCACGGATTGCTGAGAACACTTGCATGTATTACTTGTCATGTACAATTTCTAAACATTCGTACTCGTTCCATTAACTACGGTATGCGCCTGATCATCATATTCCTTCATATACGTACAGCGTCCGATAGGATATCACATGGAAATCTTCTATCCAAAGTACATTCCCTCGGCATATCTGGCAATTTACGATTTTGGATATTTTCGCACCATTCTGGTCGGCATCAGGCAGTTGCATCCTAAGCAATACTCCAACGAGTAGACAAGTCACAAGTGGCGGGATCCAAGGAAGTGTTCTAGGGCCTCTTTTGCATTTGGTGTACATTAACGACGTCTTCGATGTCAGTATGCACGGCAAAACATATGCATTCGCAGATGACACTAAAGTTGATTATGAGTTCGATTCGGTCAATTGTATTAACGCACTAGTAGACATACAATCGGGGCAGTATTGCACCACATTCTTTGATGCTAGACGGAAAGCCATGTCTACCTGACTCACACTTCGTGACATTGGCATACACTACTCGAGCTCTTCATTTTCGTCGCACAGGTAAGGTAGATGGTTGCAAGAGCCCGAAAACTACGACTGCTATTACTAAAGTCCTTTACTTTGAATGAGTGCAAAATATATTTCTATAAAACGCGTATTCGTCCCTTACTCGAATATTGTTCATTAATCTACTCCAAGCTGAGTAAATGTGATAGAAAATCAATAGAAAATGTGCAGTGCTCCTTTACAACGCGCCGAATGAGAAAATCCGCTTATATTCCCTTCAATATCTGTTGCTATGAGATGAACATAGAACTCCGCTGGTTATGGAGACTAAATCATAAGATTAACCTCATGTTTGATATAATCCACAAACGCGTCTTCTGCAAAGACATTTAGTTTAGAAACTGTGCGGAGTTTAAATGAGTAGCAGCACGTCTTGCGAATCCACATACCACGTAGCGCACTTTTCTAAGGCGCTCTGGTTCTGTACCCAGTGTGTCTCAAAATCGGATGAAAGAGAACATCGGTTGCAGCGGCAATCTTGCCTGTGTCCAACCGTTTCTGGCGGCGCGGTTGGGTTCCACCAAAGCGCAGAACCAACTTATCCCACACGTGGACATGATGCGAAGTCAGGTAATTGTTTTAAATGGACTTGCAATCCGTTATGCATTCTCGCCATCGGTAACTAAGAGTGATATGGGCAATTTGCATCCCGAATTGACAAGGCGACTGTGGTCGCCATTTGGCTCGTTTTTGCCAGGAACGCTGGAACTTGGTGCCCGTAAGGAACAAGCCGTGGTCCGCGCAAAGTTAAGGGAGTCGATCGCCGTTGTATGTCTTGCGAGTACGGTGGCTGTGTTGACCCACAGGTTGACGCTGATAAACATCTAGTCTACCGACCTGCGCGTTCAGGTCAGTGGCAAGTATCACGATGTCAGTGCGGCGTTTCGCGCGAAGGAGATCGATGAGTTGGTCGGTAGAACTCGTCTTTAGCTTCCTCCGGGCTGCGATACATTCGAGCTTATGCCACCACAATGAATAAGCGGCGCCAGTTCGTCCCGTACCTGGAAGAACACATAAAGCTTTCTAAGCCAACTGCACACTGACGAGTTTTGACCGGGAAACAGTCAATGAGGGCTGCCTCAGCAGGCGCTTTAAACGCAACTTTTACGCCGGCGCAACTAGAAGCTGCCACCGTCGCTTCTCCAGATAAGCGCAAAATGAATGTGAAATTGGAACTTGGGGTTGGTGAGATCAACTGCGATGTTGTGCTGGAGTACTACAAACGTATTTCAATTCGCAGCAAAAATTGATTTAGGGGATTTCCAAAGTTCAAACATGAGCAGCTTATAAAGCAATCTGCATGAGCGATCGAAGATAAAATGTAGCTAGATTGAAGTGCGAGCGGGGTACAATAAAAGCTCTGCTATTAGTGTTTGTTTTGAAATGTGTGCCATCGTTTTTCACCGTTCACTAAAAAGACCAAATGTACCGCTTTTATTAGCAACAAACATATGCGGAATCAAAAATAAAGGGGATTGCCAGGATAACGAGGGTTGAATAAACGTGGAACGAAGAACGTGGTTTGCAGTGCGGTAGAGGGTGGAATGAAATGCCTCTTCGCCAGCACCAAAGAAAGGTGAGCGTTCTAAGAGTAAGAGACGTGAGCAGAGATTAATTTATCCAAGATTCTTATCAGATGAATCTTGTTTTGTGAACGGACTCTTTATTTGCTCACAATTACAAATTATTTCCACATGGTTGTGGTTGAATTTAGGATGGTGCAATCACCGCTGACGTTGTATGCGCAGCCTCGAAATTGTAGCAGAACCACCTTCCTAAGTCTGTGTCTGCCACTTTCGTAGAAGAATGAAATCAGCGTGCCCGGTTCAGAACTATTTCGGTCAGCCTCCGTCTAGTGAAATTTGATGCCTAATATGGTCCGGATCGAAAAGCACGGTACCTGTGGATGACACCAAATGTAGACGAAATCTGTTTCACGGCACTCAGAGCAAAACGTGTGCAAGCAGCCACGAACGAAAGCTCGAAGGCTACAACAGTCTAAGTAGGCCAGCATAGAACACGTTTCCACCAAAGAATGTGATGTCGCATAGGCGGGCTGTTACTGTGCCGGGGCTTGAGAACCAGACACTTAGTGGCAGAACGCAGCCGCAGCGAATACGTCAGAGGCTTGTCTAAACTTCAGGCCAGGTGGTTACCGGGTCTAAGCTGCGCCAATTGATTGGAGCGTTGGCGAAGTACCCATACCACATGTGATGATTGTCTGAGTGCAGGGATTGTCTAAGTGCTGCTGAGTCCATGTTTGTAGCCAATACGTCAAGTGACTCAGGGGAATTTGCGTTGCAATTGCTGCGCGTGTGTATTATGTGCCTATTTGATCTCTACTTTCTGTACTCTGGTTGCATCTAAATTCCTCAATAACGCCTCGTGCCTACAGTCTAAGGAGTAACTTAGTGGGTAATATTGGTAAGGACGATAGGACGGTAGAGACGAAGTGAGTAGGAACCATGAGCACAACAGATTTAGTGCAGAATGAAGTGGGGTAAGAAAGAACAAGTGAAGTAATACGCGCAGTAGTGGAACCGTTTCCCCGGGGACCTGCTTCCATGCGGGTAATCCCTCGCGCATAAAATTAGGTATGATGGAGTGCGGTGAACCTGCAGTACAGGCCACATATTGTTTGGACCTGATGAAATTAACACATCTGTATACACTTGAAGGCCAAATGTTTTCATTAGATTCTGCATAGTGAGAAAAGCTCCCAAGTTCATTTTAAATTTGGTTATGTTCTCACTTGCCTGTAC